CCGGAGATTTTAATTCGATTTTAGAGGGAAGAATGTACAGATCGAGAAATGAAATTCTGTAAAATATTGCATTTCAATACACAAATTTGCCAAACAATCAAAATTAGATCTACAAAACCGCGGAAGCTTAAATAATATTCAACAACCCACAATAAGAATCTCTGGATTATTCGAGTCTCGCGAGTGAAAGAATCTTTTTCTCTCAATTCTACTTTAATTGATAAAATGGCACAATTATTTTATTCAGCTTCTACAATTTCTTATTTACCAATTTGGCTAAACAGAGACAAAGTACTTCTTCTTCTTGTACTTTTATTCTGAGCTCATGGTACGTTCCAAGTACGAGGTACAACTTCGATCAAGTAATACTGAAACGATCTCGAATAATCGTCGTCAGGATTATTTGTCTAACGTGTCTCGAACGCGGAATACGCTTGTGCAATGATGAAAAACGAAGAAACTCTCTGGAGAGGTACTCTCGTCACGGTGTTACGCGAAATTCGAAATTACATTGGTATTGAAAACGATTAATTGCAAAGCAATTGAAGCTGTAATAAACACTGTATCATCTTTTCGATTGTAATGAAAAATTCTTCCTTATCGATTGCACAGCAATTCACGATAATATCGAAGGAAAGAAACATTCGATGAAGTAGCGAAATCTCGAATAAAACATGTTTCAAAATATTGCGTATACGAATTGAAAATATTACGAAGATTATTTTATAATTGATATACAGATTGTTGTTCGTAATTTACAAATGAAAGAAAAGAAGACGAGTAGGAACTCCAAGAAGAAAATAAATTACTCTGAATAAACTGATCGATTCATTTTCTGTACGGATATTCTCGGTACTCGATATGTACGTCTCTTTCAAGCTCTAATAAAAATTCTTCCTTTCCGATGCATCGTTTATTTCCACCGAAAAAAAAAAAACGTATATGAAAAACGAGAAGAAAGAGAAAAAGAAGGAGGCAGATTTAACAGATTTTTTTACAGGAAGGTCAGGAGCAGCTCTAAACGAAGAATGGAATCTCATTTTGCTAAATGTCTCGAATATTTGGAAATATTAGACATTTCAAATTTTTT